AGCAGAGACTTTGCACATTTGGGCTGTTACAGATTTTGAGGATCATTGAAGTTAGACTAAATGCATTTTCATTTTTTTCTTTATTCATTGTATTTGTTCTTTCATACAATACATTCTAACTGCAGCCTCTCCTTCCTCCAGTCCTTCCAATTCCCACCCAATCCCTATTCTCCTAGATCCACTGCTCCTCTGTCTCCCTTCATAAAAGAGCAAGCCTCTCAGGAATATCAACCTAACACATCATAAAAAGGTGCAATAAGACTAGGCACAAACCCTCATATCAAGGCTGGACAAGGTAACCCAATAAAAGGAAAATGATCCCAAGAACAGGCAAGAGAGTCCAAGACACCTTGATTCTGATAGTTAGGAGTCCCTCAAACACCCCAAGTTAAACAACCATAGCACATATGCAGAGGACCTGGCACAGAGTCACATAGGCTCCATAATTGCCACTTCAGTTTCTCTGAACCCCTACGAGCCTTGCTTAGTTGATTCTGCCAGCCGTGTTCTCCTGGTTTCTTCTACCCTTCTGGCTCCTACAATCCTTACCCCCTTCTTCCACATGATTCCTAGAGCTCAGGCTAATGTTTGGCTAAGGATCCCTGCATGTGGCCCCATCAGCTGCCAGAAGAAGCCTCTCTGGTGACAATTGGGCTAGGCAGTGATATATATTATAACAGAATATAGTTATGAATCATTTCATATTTTTTGTTGTTTTTCTGTTATATTTGATTCTATCCTAGTTCTCTGAGCCATCCAAGTACCAGTTCCTAGTCATCCAGGCAGTGTGGGCTTCCTCTCAGAGCCTTGGCTTCAAGTTAGACCAGTCATTGTTTGGCCACTACAGAAGCTCTGAGCCACCTCTGCCCTAGCACATCTTGCAAGCAGGACAAGTGTGGGTTGAATGTTTTGTGGCTAGCTTGATGTCCTAGTCTTGCTACTGGGAGCCTTATGTTGTTACAAAAGATGGCTGATTCAGTATCCGTGCCCTTGATTACTAGGAGTCCTCTCCAGGGTCACCCTGATAGGTTTCAGGAAGCTTACACTGCATTATGTTTCCACATGCCCTGCTAAAAGCTCCCCTATTCCAATAATCTCTCTCTGTACTTTCCCCTATGTCTCTTAAATACTTACTTGGTCCATCCTGTTTCCATACCCTTGTCCCTCCAGTGTGCCCACAAAATCTATTTTCTCTGTCCAGGGAGATCCATGCAGCTCTCCTGGAGCTGTTCTTGTTACTTAACCACTCTTCATCTATGGAATGTAATGTGATTAACTGTGATTATTCTTTATTTTCTAATATCCACTTAGAAGTGAGTATACTATGTTTGTTTATGTGCTTCTGGGTTGCCTCACTTAGGATAAGAAAGAACTCAAGAAACCAAAAAACCACAACCAAATACTCAGATTATAATGGGGTACCTTTCTAAACAGAATCCTCAGTAAAACAATCTAAAATAGCTGAGAAACACTTGAAGAAACGTTCAACATCCATAGCCATCAGGGAAATGTAAATCAAAACTACTTTGAGATTTTAATCTTATACCTTTCAGAATTGTTAAGATCAATAACACAAGTGAGAGCCAATGCTGGAAAGGATCTGGAGCAAGTGCAAACCTCAAGAAATAACATGCTTGGGCATATACCCAAAAGATGCCTTTCCCTCCCACTACAAGGACATTTGCTCAACTATGTTCATGGTGGCTTTGTTCATAACAGACATAAACTGCTGTGTCTTTGAGAGATTTTTGTTGATTGATGATTGATGATTGATCTGGAAAGGCTCCTCCACTGAGAGTAGCTGTATTCCTAAAAAAGTGGGCCTGGGATGGAAAAGAGAGCTATTTGAGCTTGAGGCAGTGACTAGGCAAGAGAGAAATCCAGGGGGGAAAATCTTTGCCCATGGGTTTTTCCTTCAAATGCTAGCTTGAGCTTCTATCCTAAGCTCCTAAAATGATGAACTGTGATCTGACAGAATCAGCCAAACAAGCCCATTCATTGCCCAAGATGCTTTTGGTTAGAGGACTTTTAAACAACAGCATAAAAGAATGTAAGAACAAAAAAATGGAGCACCAAAATTGGTTTTGTTGCTAGGTAGAATATGGGAATGTTGTCCTTTGGAAGAATGTGGATGATATCAACACCTTAGATGGCAAAAAATTTAGAAAATTTTACAGAGAACATAATTAGCTATAATTGTAGAACCAGGTAGATAGGATTGTTGAGAGTAATGGCAGAAAGTGTAGGTTGAGGTCATAGGATTCCAGACAGAAGTAGATAGACTCAATATATATATATATTAGAGATCATTTGGGTAATATTGTGGCTTCATAATTTTTCTTATTCTGGCTATGCCCTGGAAATTTATTAAGGCAGAATTAAAAAACAATGGGCTAATTTCTTAAATGGAATATTGAATCTCTTTTATGGCTATTACTGATGACTCATTCAGCTCTGCAGTGAAAAAATGGATCAGAAATTAATGAAAATGAAAAGGTAGTTTCAGATGGTAGCCAAGTATTGAAATAGATGGGAATTTTTCAAGGAGTTTATCATCATTATACAGAAGTCCCTTGCTCTGTAATGGAAACCTAGCAAGGTGTCATAAGGATAAGACACCATCCACCTAAACCTTCAATTTATAGAGGAAACAAAGTGATTCCTAGTCCCTGGAAGCAACTTCATATAAAACCTGCTGCACCTGTGGTCCAAGCATGTTGGTGTCCATTCTAATTAAGAAGTCAGAATTTGCAGGCTTACCCTTCTTGATCGTGGAAACAAGAAAACATCAAAATTTTAGGTCATGGACTCTTAGTTTGTGGTTTCAGTTCAGCATTGTGACAGGCATCTATGTTTGGCAGTGTCAGAATACAGTGAGGAGACAGAGTTTATTGTGTGAAACTGTGAGGATGAAGCCTGTGTTTCATTTTGAGACCACAAGATGATGAAATACCTATGCTATGAGACATCTCCCATCACCAGCTGGCTGCATACAGGGAGTTAAAGTAACCAAAGAGAGAGATGAATGAGACATTGCAGGGATAGGGCCCATCTAAGTCCTTTGAAACTGAAGCCTTATGTGTCTGAGACAGAGCTATAAGATTTGATGGTTTTCCTCTGTGTTTGAGACTTGCCTTGGTCCGCTCTTCTCTCACTGTGTTCCCATTCCTCTCTTTTGGAAAGTGAATGGTATTCTGTGCTATTGTATGTTGGAAAGATGTAATTTGTTTTCTGATTTTACAAGATGTCACTGTCAAGATTTTCTTAAGTGTCAGAAAAGGCTTTGAACATTTGAACAGCATAGGGGTTATCGCAGACCAAGAGTATCATTGAAGTGACTAAGTGCATTTTTTTTTTTTATGGATGACCACAAGCCTATAGTGACCTGGATCAGAATGTAGTTGATTGTATGAAAAACTTCCCAGATATGATGATGTATTTGAACATGTTTCTCTTTTTGGGAACTTTCTTTCGATTAGGAGGAGCCTTTCTGGATGAAATTCCTCATTGGGGATGGGTTATGAACATCTATAGACTCAACCAATTTCCTATTCTTTGTTTCTACCTATTGTGTTTTGGTTGAAATTCATGAGCCAGCATCCTTCTCTTGCAGTCATGCCTTCACCACCATTATAGACTCTAGATACAGTAGAAGCAGTTGCCATTCAATGCCAAGCCAGTTTGGTAGCCTGCTGTTTAAATTGTTTGTTTTTGATGACAAGGTTTTTCTGTGTAACCTTGGCTAAACTGAAAGTACCTCTGTAAGCCCAGTTGGCCTTGAACTCAGAGACCACCTGACTCTGGCTCACAAGTGCTGGGATTAAAGTTGGGCCAAAATTCCTGGCTTTTTTGTTTTTATATTATTGGGTGATGGGCCCAAAATGTAGGTTTTTGTACATGTCAAACAAATACTGTTATACTGAGCTTCACCCCATTCTGAAATTTGAAATTTGGCAGATGGTATCATTTTGTTTTCCAGCATGACATGTATTCATAACATTAATACTGTCTGAGCCTTTTGAGTCATTGGATTGCAGATACAGGACATTCTTCCTGCCTGCTGTGTTTGTTTTGAATATTTTAAATGAATATGAGTATTTTACCTGTATGCATGGATATGCACCATGTGGGTATCTGGTTCTCACAATGATCAAAAGATGGCCTCAGAAACCCTAAACTTGGAATCATGGATAGTTTTGATCTCCTGTATAAATATTGGCAGTTGACCCCACCTATATGCAAGACCAGCAAGAGCTCATTACTATTGAGCCATCTCTTCTGCCCTGTGTTGATTATTTATTATCAACATTTATATTGCTAATGTTTTCATCTGACCATTTGAAACTGTGTTTAAACACTCAATGCCTTTTAGAAAGATCTTACTGATGTTACACATTAAAATGAGGTACTTCAGGTTTCTGGAAGATAAATACAGAAGTGAAGTGAATGTCTAACTCTTTGTAGAAACCAAAGTAAATAACCTCTGTGTTCTTTCTATGTTTTTGCTTGTTTGACTGATTTTTTTGCACAGGTGACAGGGTCCCAATATGTACTTCTGGCTGTCCTGGAACTGATTGCATAGACTAGGCTACCATTCAACTCAAGCAAATATACCTGCCTCTGTATTCTGAGTGCTAGCATTAAAGGTGTGATCCAATACACCCAGCTTGTCCATCTTATTTTTCTTTTTTATACTTAGTAATTGTTCATACAATTTTTCTAATGTGTAGTCTGTACTGTTGATCTGTTTACTTTTCTATGTTTGTTAATAGGCATTTCTGTTGCAAGGTTATATCCCATACAAGGGGTACAGAAATGAGAGAGGTGAACCTCCTTATTCAGTTTCCTTCTAGAGTGACTTGATGATTACATTACAATGTCTGTGTTATGGAGGAAATAAGTGGAGCACCAGAATTATATGACTATACCATGAAGAAGTATAGATTTACAATGTTGTCAGTACCATGCTTTCTGTTGTACACATCTATGGGATATTTTAGAATGCAGTGACCTATGATGATGTGCATGTTGCCTTCACTTGGGAAGAATGGACTTTGCTGAATCCTTCCCAGAAGAATCTCTACAAAGATGTGATGCTGGAGACCTACAGGAACCTCATTACTATAGGTAAGACTGAATTTTCCTTCATATAAAATAAGGGGACAACTATTCTTTGGCTATTGATGCTTCTCTGTAATTTGAGTGAGAAAGAAGAATGAGGTGAATAAATCAAGTATGGTTCTAAGGTTCACTGAAGATAGTAACTTAAATTTTGCACAATTTTTAATAATATACCATACATTTTCTGAAACTATATTTTAGGATACAGCAGAGATGACCATAATATCGAAGAATACTGTAAAATTTCTAGAAGACATGAAAGGTAATTTTATTTTGCAAGCTGTTACAAATGTGCCTTTGAAGAAACTGTAAATGTGTCCTGGAAGTTTCAAAGAAAAACAACAGTGTAAATTAGCACAGCTTATAATGCATTGATGATTATTAAATTCTGACAACAAATACCATATTCCTCAACTTCAGGTAAGTGAATTACATTTTCAAGGCATTCTTTTAAGAAAGACGACAAGAAAACAATGCCTTAACAGACGTGGCCATTTGAATCAAAACCCCATGAGTGCTGTGCTGTACATCTGCCAGTCCATTTCATTTCATGACACTCATATTAAAAAAGGTAGACACATTGAAGAGGTGATAAGTATATGTTCAAAACATTCAAAAATAAGCAAATAGTCCATAGTAAAGTTAGTGTTACTCATATACTTTTTGTGACTTTGATAAATTTAGTGAAAGAGGCACTTAGAGTCAAGGGCTATTGTGGAGAGACCTTAATCCCCATACCACATATCTATGAGAAACAGAAATTCAAACTGTATGAATTCAATGTGGAAACCTTTTATTTGTCATTCTTCCTTTACTATGTATGTCATATATCATTCTGGATACAAGCCACATGAACATATGGATATAGAATGATGGAACATACCTCTCAGAACTATTAGAATATATATAGCAGTCCCCACATTGAATAGACTTGTTGAATCTGATTCAAGTATACAAGTAAATGGTTTTCCACCTTCACTGTAAATACATCAACAATCTCACACTGCAGAAAAGCCCTATGAGTACTAGGACTGTGTAAATAGTTCTGTTTGTCATAATTCACCTAGAAAATGTAATGTGACTCACAGTATAGGAAAATTTATGAAAGCAATAAGTTTGATAAAGCTGAGTTTTTCCAGTTCTCTTCAAATATGTGAAAAATCTCATATAGAAAAAAAATGTGTAAATGTGAATCATGTAATAAATGCTTTTACTATCACAGGTATCTTCAAAGATGCAAAACAACCCCTAATAAATGGGAATAATATGAGTGTAAACAAAGTAATAAAACCTTAATATCTGATTCTTTGCAACTGGACCAAATTACAAATTAACTCATTCAAATATAAAGATTCAACAGTATATTTAAAGTGGTAAAGCTTTTACATGTGCCAATTATCCTTGCAGGAATGAAAGAAGTCGTACTGGACAACAACCTCCTGAATATCCTCAATGTGTTAAAGCCTTTGCTCATCACTGTACTCTTCAAAAGCATAAAAGAACACATACTGGAGAGATACCCTGTGAATGTAATCAGTGTGCGAAAGGCTTTCCACATTTTAATAATCTTGAAAAACACAAAATAACACATACTGGAGAGAAACCTCATGTATGTAATCAGTGTGGTAAAGGCTTTTCACAACTCAGTGTTCTTCAAGTGCATAAAAGAACACATACTGGAGAGAAACCTTATGTATGCAATCAGTGTGGTAAAGGCTTTTCACAACTCAGTATTCTTCAAGTGCATAAAAGAACACATACTGGAGAGAAACCCTATGAATGTAATCAGTGTGGTAAAGGCTTTTCACAAGTCAGTCATCTTAAACAACATAAAAGAATCCATAGTGGAGAGAAACCCTATAAGTGTAATCAATGTGGTAAAGGTTTTGCACATCCTAGTAATCTCCAAATGCACAAAAGAACGCATACTGGAGAAAAACCCTATAAATGTAATCAGTGTGGTAAAGGCTTTTCACAACCCAGTCATCTTCAAATGCATAAAAGAACACATACTGGAGAAAAACCCTATGAATGTAATCAGTGTGGTAAACTCTTTCCACGTCCCAGTAATCTCCAATTGCACAAAAGAACACATACTGGAGAGAGGCCCTATACTTGTAATCAGTGTGGTAAAGCCTTCACTTCTCAAAACAGTCTTGGAATACATAAAAGAACCCATACTGGAGAGAAACCCTATGAATGTAATCAGTGTGGTAAAGATTTTGCACGTCCCAGTAATCTCCAAATGCACAAAAGAACACATACTGGAGAGAAACCCTATGCTTGCAATCAGTGTGGTAAAGTCTTTGCAGAACAAAAACGTCTTCAGATACATAATAGAACACATACTGGAGAGAAACCCTATGAATGCAATCAATGTGGTAAAGCCTTTGCGGAACAAAGAATTCTCCGAATACATAAAAGAACACACACTGGAGAGAAACCCTATGAATGTAATCACTGTGGTAAGGCCTTTGTATGTCAAAGTCATCTCCGAACGCATAAAAGGACACATACTGGAGAGAAACCCTATGAGTGTAATCAGTGTGGAAATGCCTTTGCACATAGCTCTCATCTTCAAAGGCATAAAAGGACACATACTGGAGAGAAACCCTATGAATGCAATCAGTGTGGAAAATTCTTTGCAGAACAAAGATGTGTCCAAATACATAAAAGAACACATACTGGAGAGAAACCTTATGAATGTAACCAGTGTGGTAAAGTCTTTGCTCATCTTTGTTCTCTTCAAAGGCATAAAAGAACACATACTGGAGAGGAACCCTATGAATTTAATAAGTTTGGTAAGACTACACATCATAGTGATCTTCAAAAAAATTAAGATTGTCAACAATCTGGTCAAGCATTTTCACATCTGTCTTTATATAATTGTATCTGAAAACTCATTGGAAAAATAAATTTATGAATGTATTAAGCCCTATGAGTTTCAACAATAATATTTCCCTTTTAGATTTTTGTACTTGAATTACATGAAATGACTCACTCAGGTGTAAAACTTTATGGATTTGTATTAGTGCCTTGTCTGTTTTTGTGATATAATGTCTAGGTCAACTTATAAAAGAGTTTAGTTTGACCCTTGGTTCTAGGAGGATATAGGATCACCGTGAAAGTGGCATGGTAACAAATGCTACACATGGCAGCTAAAGCAGGAAGCTAAGAACTCAGATCATCAGCTTGAAACATGATGTAGAGTGGGAACTGGAAATGGTGTGCAGATGTAAATTCTCAAAGTCTTCCCACCCATGAACATATTTCCTAAAGCAGGGCAGCAGCATTTCCTAAATCATTCCAATGGACGCCAGCAACTGAATGGGATTGACTTCTCTCACTTCAAGTCTACATTCTTGCTTTCTGTTACACAAACCAATTTATGATAAAGAAAAACTGTGTAAGTGAGCTTGTAGATGTCTCAGCACCTGTGTTATAGAAATGGATGCTTGTAAGAGAAAAACTTTCATGAGTAAAACTTGTTTAAAGATTTGTTTTACTTTCAATTATGTGGTGTCAGTGTGTTTGTGTGCATATGTGCATCTATATGCTGGTTCCCAAGAAGCTTAGACACTTGGATCTCCCTGTAGCAGGAATTATGGGAAGCCATTCAAAATTGGACCCTGGTCCTGGGAATGAACTTTTCTTAACTGCCCAGCTGTGTCTCTAGCCTCCTAAATATTTTAGAACTGACATATTATTTTGATGTCAGGAAATAGGGATGAACTTATATAAGAGGAAACACTATTCATCTAAATAATTTGGTAAAGACTTTAGACCTTTTCAGCTTCAAGGAAAAAAAAAAAAGCCTTTTTTTTTCATTTCTTTTTCATCATAGTCTTGAAGGAAGTAAATTACTTACCATGTTCACTCCAGACTGATGGTGGAGATGACTGCATTGTGATTTCTTTTTTTTTTTTTGTTTGGGTTTTTGTTGTTTTGTTTTTGAGACAGGGTTTCTCTGTGTAGCTTTGTGCCTTTCCTGGATCTTGCTCTGTAGACCAGGCTGGCCTTGAACTCACAAAGATCTGCCTGCCTCTGCCTCCCGAGTTCTGGGATTAAAGGCGTGTGCCACCATCACCCAGCTGCACTGTGATTTGTATTGTGAAACATTTGAGATAGTTACTAAAGTGTGATATATGTGTGGCAAGTCCATTTAGTGAAATTTATTTTGTTTTTGTAATATTTCTTCTGTGGGGTTTGTTCATCTTCTTTGGTGCTTTTACTTAGTAACAGGTATTTTTTTATCATAATGGATAGAATGGGATCCCCATCATCTAAGCGGTCCACTGTTTATTATCAGGTAGTGGGATCCAAAAACCCAGATCATGTACCTTCAACAGCCTTAATTCAGAGGAAAAGGGCTTGGTCCTACCTCAACTGAATGTCCAAGGCTTTGCTGACTCTCCATGGGAAGACTTACATTTTTGGAGGAGGAGATGAGGGAGGGTTGGGAGAAAGGCTGAGAGGGAGGAGCAGGAGGAGGAGATCTGTGGTTGGTATGCAAAATGAATAAAAATATCTTAATAAAGAAAAAAATAAAATAAATACCAGGCAGTGTGTGATCATACTTTTCAAGTACAGGTGTCTGTGAAAGTGTAGTGGGTTGTTCCTGCTTTTGTTTTTCATATTTTCACAAATTTGCTTGAGATTTTGTTGATTGTTATTCAGCCTGGCTTGGATGTCAGTAATTACTGAGGGCTACATTTAACTCATGAGCCTCCTTTTCCAAGGGTAAATGATGTACTCCCAAAGTGTACAATTTTCTCTGTATGATATAACAATGTTAATGTTACAATGCTTAGTAGAAGAGACTATAAGAAACATTAAATACCGTTCTGGAGAGATGACTCAGTGGTTAAGAGCACCTACTGCTCTTCCAGAGGTCCTGAGTTCAATTCCCAGCAACCACATGGTGGCTCACAACCACTTATAATGAGATCTGGTGCCCTCTTCTGGCCGGCAGGGACACATGGAGGAAAAATACTGTATATTAAATAAATAAATAAATAAATAAATAAATAAATAAATAAATAAATGAATAAATAAATGAATAAATAGAAAAAAGAAACATTAAATACCTTGTGTATGTACAAAGCAATATGTTTTTTATCTTATAGGTGTGTAATAACGTGGGATAATCAGCAGTCAACTGTGTATCTAATACCACATATTGTGATATGGTGATATATATACATATATCTATGTATTTATATGTGTATATATATGTATATATGTAAAATTAAACATTCCATGCTTATTCCTGTCCCTATTAGTTAACCATTGGGCATTTCATCTTTAAGGACCGTCTTTGCCTTCTAAGGGGATTCTCGAGAGATACCAGATAATATAATGGCAATAAGATTTATTTTATAACAAATGTTTATGGTATGTGTGTAATGTGATTATGGCTTTGTAGGCCAAGGCAGATTTGTGGAGACCAGAAGACAACTTTGTTGTATCTACTTCATATGATGATCAAGGTCAGGTTTCCAACTTTGCACACCACCCTTCCCACTGAGCCATCTCACTGATATTCAGATAAGATTAGTAGGAATATTACATGAATAAACTGTTGTCTTTTCAGATTGTAAATGTATTTTCATACAAGTATAGAGAAACACAGGACAATTTGGATGATAAATCCTCTTTGCATATGAAAATATGTATACTATGATTCATTTTTCTAAATTTGTTTATGCTGAAGACTAAATATTTGTTTATAACACTTTCTCAGAACCGCAACTGAGTGCCAGACAATTGCCTCAGCCAGTAAAGGTGGCTGCAGCTAAGCCTGATGACCTGAGTTCTATCTCTAAGTGACCCATGTTTCTTCTACAAGTTTTTCTTTTATTTCTGCATGGGTTGTGGCATCTGCACACTCCTATATCAGCACATACATAGGTAACATTTAAAACGAAATAAATGCACAGCGGCTACTTGCAGCCATGTGACTCCCTTGTTTTCATCACTGGAGCTCACATAGGGAAAGCACATAAGAGACATCTCTAAGCTGGTTTATGCACACATACACAGTTCAAACATTTTTAAATGAATGAAATTAACAAAGCAAAGAAAAAAACCCAATTATTGAGAACGTTTTCATTTTAAAATTTTCCAGTTCAAATTATAGAATTTCAAGCAGTATTAATGTTCATTAAAAGTATGGTTATCCCTTTTTAAATCTTATTTTATCCTTTCTTTATCTGAGTCAAAGATAGGTCATTTAAAAATATATCTCAATTGGACTTAGAGGTACATGCCTGTAATCTCAGCACTTGACAGACAGTGTCAGGCCAATCTCTGTGAGTTTGAGGCCAGTTTGGTCCCCTGCAGGGCGTTTACCACCAACCCCACAGCTGCCCAGTGTTTTCTTGAGTGTGAGCAGCAGGAAATATTAGATAGAAGGATTTGGATTGTGGAGATGAACAGATAGAAAATAAAGGATAGCCTCGAGAGGGCCTGGAACCTACTCCAGTGGGCCCTGACTGTTTCTGCCCCAGAGTATTTATAGAGATGCCACGGGGTGGAGCAAAAGACCTCCCCTCAGCACAGCCAAGTGCAGACCATCTCAGGCACCTGCACTCAGGCCCGTGGTTCTAATCATCCTCTATGCGGACCTGCTGGGTAAATCCATAAGGAACCTGAAAATGGGCTCCCACAGGTACCCCTTTTTTAATATATACAAAATAACTCATTATTAATAGCTTACAGCAGTCTCCATAGTTGTTATACCCCCCAGTATGGGAGTAGAGAATGATATAGATGGCATTTCTTCTTTGAATTAGGTCCAAAGTAACCTCAGCAGTCTTAGCTGCCTTAAGCCCTTTCTAAACCAAAAACTTAATGCAATCGCAATCTTAAAGAATCCCTTAATTTCATCATTACCATTAACAGGTTAACATAAATATTGCTATACATAGTCACAATTCTCCCAATCTTACAACTCAAAGCAAACTCTTTACAGAACCATTTGAATTAACATAAATGTTGCTATTTATAGTTAACAATTTTCTCAGTCTTACAACTTTAACTCAATAGAATCATTTGAATTTCTTGCTAACAGAACATAGGAAAAGCTTCTGATGTATTCACATCAAACTTAAATATTTCCTTAACTCCACAAAACCAGGGTGCATTAATATCAATAGGTTAAACATAATTTCTGCAAACATACATTCAACCTTAAATCACTCATAACTCCCCCTTTATAATTTCTTTATAATTTTTTAAAACAATCTCAAACCTAGTTAGAAGAAAACCCAAATTCATACAATTCCTACAAACCCTTATTGAAAAGCAATTATTTTCAATCTAACCATTAACACTTTGAAAACTTTTAACAAAACACCCAAAAGCAATTTCTTAATAAAACTCTTTACATTTTAAAAGT